GGAGACCTCAGACCTACTCATTCTTTGCCCTAAATGGCTTCATTTTAATAATATTTTCCCTTGAACTCACCTTCCTGATGTGGTTATAAACAGAATCACATCTACCTGTCTTAATATTCAGTATATCAGGTCTGCTTGTGTCTAATTGTGTGTGATGTCTTCACATCTCTTATCACTTTGTAACATTTTTCTATATCTGGAAATAAATAAATCTCATTTTTTTTCTTTCTTTTTTTCTTTCTTTCTTTTTTTTTTTTTTTCTCATGCACGTGGTGGACCTGTTGTCTATAGGATGGACCAGAGGAAGTTTCACCAGAGCTTTATACAGCACTCTTAATATTTCTGCTTGTCTCCCAGAATTGCCACTCCTGAGGCATATGAGAACTGCACGTGTGTTTTTTTGTTTTTTTTTTTTTTTTTCAAGTCAAGAATCATTAATGAAATCAAGTCAGGAGGGTGCTTAATTTTTTACTTTTTACTGCTTCTGTGCGAGCAGCAAACTGAAACAATGGGGAATAAACAGAGAGAATTCAGCTATGTCTGAGCACAGAGGGCATGGACTTCTGTGTCTGGCAAACCAGCTGCCAGAAATTGGCTGTCAGGCATGAAGTGGGTGCTTCAGCTTGTGAAAAAAACGCATTGGTTTGCTATATCAGGAGTAGGATTTTAGAAACAAGCAAAACTCTTCTTTACAGTGGAAGGCAGATGAGGAGGTTGAGGAGATAAACAAAGAGGCAAGTGGCAAAGTGGACAAATTCCCTTCATTGCTTTGTGAGCTGTTGTCCCTGCCCAACACACTGGGAAATTATGTAATGCTGGTGGGACAGGTAGGACTGACAGCACTGCCATGACCCCGTGAGGTCCAAGGGAAAGAAAGGGAGTCTCAAATCTTCCTGTCTCATGTATTGGGCAAAGCATCAAGAAGATGCTTGGGGGGTATCAAGCCTACGTTTCCTTCCCTTTGCACCCCCTGGACATACAGTGGTGGGTTGACCCAATATGTTGCTGTAGTGATGTTTTTGGGGAACACGATGAGAAAACAGAGCTCCAGACCTCTGCCAGGGAGGTGTGAGAATTGGGGTGGGCAGTGGTGGTCTATGGAAAGGGCATGCATGTCTGCACACACTGCCCAGGGCAGTGGCTGAGGCAGAGGCACAGGTTCCTAAATCGGCTGCAGCCTTCACAGCTGGTTCTTCACAGACCCATCCATGGAGATGAGAGGTACATAAGGTGAAATTATGCCCCTACCCCTCTGCATTGCCTCCTTTTTTATTTTATTTTATTTTATTTTATTTTATTTTATTTTATTTTATTTTATTTTATTTATTTATTTATTTATTTATTTATTCGATTCAGGAAGGAAATCAGGAAGGAATCCTCTGTTATTTCTCCTCTGTTTTCCTCTGAGTTGGTCTTTTATGTTAAAACACTCACACGCTATGTCTTGAAATAGTTTTTTTGAGCAAGCCCTGACCAGCCCTCTGATTTCTGCTCTGTGAGCTAGGGCATGAATGCAGCCCCACAAAACAAAACACTCTGTGCACCTGCTTAAAGTTTCACAAACAAACAGCTTCATCTCTGATAGCAGAGCACCAGGCAGAGGGAAAGAAAGGTGCAGTCCGTGTTCATAGAACACGGCATGCAAAAAACAAGACCCCAAGGGTGAAGGTGCTTGCCATCACGTTGCAAAAACATGAGGCTTAATGAAGAAGGAAAATGCACTTGTGTTCTCCTTGAATAAATTTTCTCCTACCTTTTCCAGGGGTGTTGGTTTTGGGGGAGTGAGACTGCTGAGCAAACCCTGCTGGGGTCGGCATGTTACACGCTATTCAATGCTTTTTGGACCCCCAAAAAACACATCAGGAGAGGGAAAGAAAGGGGGAACAGCTCCATCTTCCTCACCACTGGCTCCTCCACTGGGAGGTAGGTACACCAGGGCCATAACAGCCCCCCAAAAAGTGGCTTGGGACAGGAAAAGGGATTTTGGGTGAGGTGCCTCACTTCTTCCTTCTCCTTGGCACCAGGGGAAGGTGCTGGCAAGCAGCCCCCAGCACAAAGGGAAGGCAGTGGGGCTGCTACTGATGGGAAGCTGTCGTTCCTGAGGTGTGCATTAGGGTTAATATTTGACCTGGTAGTGAAGGAGCAGGCGGGGGAGCATGCACAGGACTTGCCCTTCTGAAGAAAGGCAAAATCATCACCCAGAAAAAGTAACTTCATCCTTTTGACTCGCCATTCCTTCAGGAACTTGGTAGGTTTGTTGTTTTTATTTTTATCTTGGGAATTTTCCACTTTTAGTCTGTTTTCTGAGCTGTAGGACAAGGGAGTGCAAATGTCTCCAGACCTGAAATAGCCTCTGCTTTTAATCACAACTGATGGGCAATTTATCTACCAGAGCAGAAGGGCAAAATCAGTTTAGACAAAATCTTTTACAGCCTCGGAGTAAATAAAAAGCAGTCAGCAAGCTGAGTTTCCCCACCCCAAAACAAGGGGCAAGGAAGAAACGTCAGCAGGAGGCACGGACACAGGCAGGCACAGAGGAGGTGGCCGTGGGCAGAAGGGACAGGGTGTTCGTTCCCCTTCATGGAGCACTCGGTAGAGGCTGATCATGCATGAAACCAGGTCTCAGTGGGGTTGTCCAGGCCACTGCCCCAAGTGCCTGCCCAAGATCAGCCACGGGAGCATCTCCAACCATGGAAGAGAGCTGTGAGTGGGAGAAGTCACTCATCAGCAGATTTTGGGGAAGTCCCTATGACAATCATTATTTTGAAAACCAGCCCTTCATTCAGGTGGTCAAACAAAAGGTTTTCTGAGGTCCTGTATAGCAGCTGAGAAAGAGACTTTGTAATTTCTTTATACCATCTTATCTAAAAATAGAGATGAGTCTGTTCTGGGGAAAAAAATAATAAAGTTGTCTGAAGATCGGTTGGATATTCTGTAAGGTTATTCCAACCAGAAAAAGTACTTGAGGTGGATTCAAACATGGGATACTGCTATGTTCTTGAGCATTTTCTGTTTGATAAACCATAGAAATAGGTGGAATATGTAGCCCTGTGGTGTCATTTAACACTGACAGAGCACAGTCCCATTGCTGATGTTAATTCAGAAGGGGTCTAACCTCATGTGACAGATCCAGAGCTGGGGAAATCAAGAGGTTGTTTTTATTTCAATTATTTGTTTATTTTCCTGAATAAGAAGTCTCGTACAGTATATTTGCAAAGTAATGGGGAAAAGTTGAACGTCCTGTTCTAACTAATAATCCTGTCCTGTTCAGACTAACAAGACAGGATTGTTTGATGGGGAAGTTACGACAAGAGGAAGGAAATACACAGCCGCACAGCCTCCGTGTTAATTTGACCTCTTCTGATTTCTGCATTTCCTTTGTGTTTCTGATTGGGGTTCTTTTTAAAGTGATTATATCCTCCCCTACCCACCCACCCACCATCAACCCACCTCAACCCCCCAAAAAAGGCTACAGCTGTGGGTAAAGAACAATCTCTTTAGCTAACTCTTGACCCAGCTTCAGAGATCAAGTAAATTGCCTAAAAGTAGGCTCCAGTGCCTGGAAAATCCTATTTATTTTATTTTTTTCTAATGCACCTGGGTGAAATCAGCCTTGTCTTGTCCCATCCTCCTTTAAGGACATAAGAAATTGACTCCAAAATAATTGACTTCTTGCTTCCATGACTAGACGTGGGGGGAGAAAAGAAGTTTATTGTGAGTCTGTAACTGTAGGAGGATGCAACGAAAAAAATACCTAGGTTTTGTACTCTAGCACTGTAGATCTTGTGGTTAAATCTGCATTTTCCAAAACACAGAGAAACCATATCCAAAATATCTACTGGGGATAGTCTGACATATCCTTGAATTATCTATGGGAATTGCTTGGGTCAGTGGCCAAAAGTTGCTGGGGACTGTGCTAAAAAAAAAAAAAAAAAAAAAAAAAAAAGTCAGTTTTGCATACACAAAGCCTTTTGCAGTGATTCTCTTTTTGTGTGTATGTGTGTGTTTTGGGGGGACAGAGCTCCTTGTGAGTATTTCTTTAAAGTCTCTCCTACATTTTATACCTCCTTCTTCTTGTATGGGAAAAGGCATGGGACAACTCTCCCCTTGTAACATTCTCCAAGCCACATTTCTTCTTCCAGAAGAGTCTTTTTTAGAAGAAGGAACCTTTCCTGCCATGGTATTTGTCAGAGATTTGCTTTTCTGACTGACGGGGTGCTTAATCACTTCTTTTATTGTGTTTAATCATGTTTCCTACAGGTACCTTAAAGACCAAGGGAGGATTTCTTCCCGATGTCTGATCTAAACCTCCCCTCTTTTATTTTGAAGCCATTCCCCCATACCCTACCACTATCAGTCTGTGTAAACAGTCGCTCTCCATCTTTTTTACAAGCCCCCTGTAAGTACTGAAAGGCTGCAGTGAGGTCTGGCTAGACCTAATGCAAACTATATTAGATGGAGAAACCTGATTTTCATGAAAATCATCATTCATTGATACACCATGTGTTTATACACGGCATCATTTTAATTGGTGATTTTATTCCTATTACTCTTCTTAGAGTAATTTTCCTTTAATATCCTTTAATTTTCTTTTATGACCACTAATGAATACAGGTCTGATGTTTTTGAAAATAATTTATATATCATCCAAAACCTCATTTCTGTGTAGAGATAGTTCAGACCCCATCACTGTGTTTGTGCAGTCATATTTCATGTTTGCAACAGCATAAGACCTTCTTGATTGTCATTTTGTCATCCACCCACTATCAAGAGATGCCTGTACAGTTCTTCACACTCAGCTTTCAGTCTTGTCCTCTCAACAACTTTGGTTCCATTATCAAAGCTGGTTTCTGTTTTAGCTTTCACCTTTTCCAATCCACTTCAGAATATGTGAAAGTTCATGGGCTGATCTGTTTAAAGACATTGCTAGACTCTACAAGTCTTGATTAAAAGAAAAAAACAAAACAAACAATGCTGCTAGCAACAATAAGAGATCATAGTTATTGGTTTAAGAAGACATTTATTTTTGTGTGTGAATAAAATAATAATATATTTTTTGCTTCACATGCTCCAAGAGCTGCAGGAACCTGAACAGATTGAACAACCAAACATCCCTGTGAGGTAGGCTGGAATAGGTGGCCAAGGTGCCAAAGTGGCTTGTGTATTAATTAAAAGCAAAAAAAGGGAGTGACTTCAGCAAAGAAACACCTGGATCTCCAGAAGCAGTGCGCTAACAGGACGTGCCCTCTGGAAGCTTCTTGGAATGCTCATTTGCAGGTTTAGACGGAGGAGGAATCCATCAAAATCACCTCCTCAAGGCAGTGGAGACGTTGCTGGTACGAGGGCACTGACCCAGCCCTCTCTTCTTACTCTGCCAAAATCCTGTAAGGGTACAAAGGCTCTTGTTGTTTTGCTGAAGTGGAAGCCAAGCTCAGTCTCTAAAAGACTCTAAAGTTGCTAATTACAATTACCTTTCAGAATAAATGTACTGGGTGGGTTTGGTCATGTGCTGTATCAGCCAGACCTATAAATGTGCTTTAAGTACTCCAGGGCACCTCAAATGCCATTAAACACCACAATCTAGTCTACTGAGTCAAACCTGTATTTCAAATATTTGTTTTCAAGTAGGTTCAACCCTCAGCTAGAAAAAAAATATAATGATGTTGTATATCAGAATATCCTGTTGGCCACTGTAGTGAATCAACACAACTGTAAATCTAACAGCATGATAAATATTTAATAGATATTAAAGATATTAGTTAATATTAAGATATTTAATCCTGAACATTAGCATCCATTGATATCACGTATGGGATGTTCTTCCCAGAAAGAATTTCTGCAGAAAAATTACAGCTGAAACCAAACTCAGAAGGTCTTGTTCCTTTCCTAGCCCCAATTCTCCTTGGATCCGGACTAACAGATGTTTTTACAGATATTCAGGGTTGGAAATCCCCCATCTGCTCTTACAAGTCTGTTTGATACCAGTAGAAAATGTTTCCTAAAGGGAACAAGCTTTCATGGAGACAAGAGGAATCAAGTCATTCCTTTGTAAAACCAACTACTAGTTGGTTGCATCTGCACCATTTATTCTCCCAAATTCCTAAGTGAATTCCTTCCTTATCACTGATGTCACAGCAGTGAACAAATCCTAATATTGGTGTGACTTGGGTTCCTTGAAACCACTGAGCCTGTTGTCTGAGCAAGCTTGTGCTAACCTAACAACTGAGGACCTCCATCTCCTGGGCAAATGCTATGAAGCTGTTCCCTAGAGCCATCTCATCGCACTCTCCTCAGTTGCTGGGAACATTTAAACCCTGACAAGTCTGTAAATAACAGAATAAGGAACCCTGGAAATCTCAGAAAAATAAGGATGTGAGTCCCTAACTGTTTATTTTCTCAAAAGACACAGGAACCTTTCCTAATTTGCCACCGAATTCAGTCTGTGGGATAATTGCTGCAGTGGACAATGATAATCACATGGCAATGAATTAAACAAAACTACTGTCATAACTAAAATGCCCAGGGAGTATGTTTTATCCTAAGCTAAACTGCACTCCCCAAATGCATATTTAAAATGATTTAAATCAGGGAAGCTCCAGACATTATTAGAAACTGGTCTCCAAAGTAAGAAGTGAAATATCCGTGCAATTTTTCTCCACCTATCCACAAATTCACTGATCTTCACCTAAGAGGTGCAAAATTATGGGAAGAAGGAGAGATGGTTTTCTTATTTCAAATTGAATTTCTAGGTCATTTTGGAAATGAAAAGAACAGAGGGATAGAGGACATATTTTTCCCTCTGATAAGTGGAAGTACTGTGAGATATTTTCCTAATAAGCTCCTTTAAAAAGTTATTTTTTTTCCCATCAAAATTCAAAATAAAAGAATGAATAGAAATAAAGTAAAAAATACTGAGTTATGGGAAATATTTGCTCTTCTGCACTTTTACCCTCATAAATATTTTCCATTAAAATTAACTATCTCCTTAAACACACATATATGTGCCCCCCCTAACTCCAAATTTCTCTCAAACAACTGCCCTGCAAGACCCACAGAAACTCGCATCCTGCTCAAGGAAACAGGAGGGGAAATGGCAGGAGGAAAATGCCCCCCAACACCCCTCAGCCCTGCTGCACATACTTGGAACAGCATTTCAGCAGCCCCCCATGGCACGATCCCGAGGCAGCGAATGTGGGTGGGCATGCCCCGGCGCGGCAGAAATTCCCCTGGCTCCTGCATGCCGCCGTGTCCGCAAAAGGTGCATCGGCAGAACCTGTGGGAAGAGGAGGATGTTAAGATCTCAGGTTTTTGTTTAAAAGGGTAAGGATAAATACGCATAAATTATTCATTTTAAGGAGGAGAGCTCTGATGAGCACAGGTGTTCTTGGGATGCTGGGCACCAGCCCAACAGCATCACATTTTGCCCATCATTGCTTTTTCTTCTACGCACGCTTTTCTGCTTTCATCCCCTTTCGTTCTTGGTGGGATTTAGCTTGCATCTCACCTGGAGCAGCCTGGAAGAGGAGGAAGAGAACAGCAAAGAGCAGGTAAAGGATCCTCATGGCTCGGCTGTGGATTGCGTGCCCGTGCGAAGCTCCTCAAAGACCGACAAGGGATGAAGTTTGTCTGAGGAAGAGGCGAGGGAAGGCAGCCGGTATTTATAGGGCCCGTGAAGAGGCTGTGAAATGTTGATGGCTGAGCCCTTCGTCAATCAGTAACTTCGCCCAGCCTCCTGGCAAGCAGTTTGGCTATCCCCCTTATCGCAGGCTGCAGTGAAATGTGCAGCAAAAATGTCGCAACCTGCAGCAGTGAATTTCCACTGCCCATGTCGGCCGGTTGTGTAATGGGACCACCAGCCAAGCCCCACCAGGCTGCACCAATTCGCTCGGCTTTTGCAGATCTGTTTGCACCGAAGTCACGGGGATGGGTCGTGCAGTGTCTTGGGAGCCAGGCACTGCCAAAGCTCAGCCCCGTCACTGCCTCTGGGTCTGTCATTTGGTGGCTAGTCACGGAGCATTTTGTCTCCCCAACCCTGTAACTGGAAGAAAGCACAGGGAAATATTTGAGTTTTGATGTGGTTTTGCTTTTACACAAGTTCCAAGGTGTCTGCAGAGAGCTGACACAAAGGTCTCTTCCTCCTCAAGTTCGCACTCATATCCCACCTTGAGTGCTTTGCATTTGTCCCCTCTTTTTTCCCCTCTAATTGCCCCAAAAGGTTGGGAGAATGGGTTGGATCCATAAGAGCTTCATGGCTGATACAGATGGGCTGGCTCTCCTTGGACTGAAGGGAAGGTGATTTCCAGGTTCAGAGTGAAATGGTAGCAGCAGATGGAGCCAGTGGCTGATTCTGAGTTCCTGGAGGACCTTTCAGGGCATACCTTTAGCCCTGGCAAAGCTGAATTTACCGTATGAGAGGTGCAGATCTGACACTGACTTTTAAAATGCTGAGTTTTGGTGAAATGCGCAGACAGAAAGCTCAGACGTGAAAGATCTTGGGCTTCACCTCAGAGCCTGATCCCAGGGGCTGTGAATTTTTTGAGAAACATCATTTAGGGGTTCAAAGCACTGAAGCTTCTTCATGAAATCCTGGGCTTGGAGATGCCAAACTACTGCAGCAGCTTTGCAGCCACAGCCCCTACCCCTTGTCCATACACCGTCACGCATGAATAGGTTAATTCCCATCAAAGCCCAGGCGTTCCTTCAGTTCCTACTTCTGGCATTCTGCTTCAGCGGTTTTCTTCCTTATTGCTTCATTTATTAGATTTAAGTGGAAGTTAATGGCACGTTTGTTCTAAGAAGGATCAGTATGTTGAATACATTACTGATGCTTACGTTTAACCTACGTGTTAACTAGCAAGCTAAGAAAGTAGCAGCAAGGTGAGTTACCTGCAAACACAGAGAAGAGCAATAAGATAAACACTGATTTTGCTCTTTCAGCCATCAAATCTAATCACCAGGAACTGTCAAATACCCCAGAATGTTCTTTTTGCATACCACTGCCTTGGATATTACCCCTTTTTGGCCAGCAACCCTCCAGATCTCCACGTTTCTAATGGAGAGGAGAGCAGGGGTCTGAGCTTTGCCACTCCTGTCTTTTCCAGTGAGCTCTCAGTTGGTGAAGGACACCCTGTGATAACAGCTGAGATGCAGACACCTGGCCTGCAACATAAACACGAAGAAACTAGCAAAATCCCACCCCCATTTTTATTTTTATTTATTTATTTTTAATGGGGAAGACCTGTTGAAATGTGGGTTTTCCCCCATCTGTCTTGCATTTGGAGGGGCTGACAGCGTTGTGAGGTTTATGTTAGGGATGGGGGTTCATGTTAGGGATGAGTCAAGTTCCCCGCAGACAAAATCAGAACGTGGCAGTGGGGAAGGTGGTGACAACTCTGCTGCCACGTGCAGCATTTGAACACGCTCCTCTTGCTTTCAGGGCTGCACCATTTCCCACCTGTGGAACAAGCTAAATCTATTACAGAGTCAAATGCTTAAAATCTCAGGGGTGCAAATTACCAGAATATTCATGGATCTACCCGAAAATCCTTATTTCTTGCAGAAGGAAAGCAGCGCTCCAGGAAAGCGAGCACCATTTTAAGCCTCGCCAGCACAGGCACAGCCTGCGAATGTCACTCAGGAGGAAAATTCCACCACTTTGGCACCTAGCAAAAACAAAGACAGGTGCAAACTGGTTGCTTAAAACCAGGCCAAACCTGTATAAAACACCCGAAGAGCAGAACCATTCGTGCAGCAGGGACCTGGGGCTGGGACACGATGCTGTGAGAGCGGAGCTATGCCCTGCGGCAGTCAGGGCCAGCAAGGAGCCCCACAGAGATCTCTGTTGAACTTTAACTTCCCGACAGGAGCTGGGAGCTCCAGGAGGTGCCTGCCCCAGAGGAATCAGCCTAGGCAAATAGTTTGAAGGGACTTCACTTAAAATCTTACGCAGGAATAATGCAACGCAAGTAGGTCATGAAGAATTTGATGAAAATATAGGTAGCTAATGAGAGAAAGGGAAGAAATGCAATGCTCTAAAGACATTTAGTTTTGCTTTTGAGATCAGCAAGATGGTCAGATTAACCCAGCACAAGCTCCTTCACCTCTGCTCCAGCAGTTAAGTGCAAAGCACTTGGTGCATCAACAGATGGAGATCTCTGGATGCTCATTAAGGGAGCAATATCTCAGAAGGGTATTCTCTCTATTTTTCTCCATTTACAGATAGGTTTAAGTTTGTAAATCCATAAGGTATGGATGGATATTTAGGTTCAATCCAATTTTGCTGAATTTTGCCCTGGCAGCACAGCTTTCCAGAGGTAAAATCTGAATTGTTGGGTGGGAACAGCCCTTGCAAACATCATCTTGTCCTGATAAAGGCTCACACAGAGTGACTGAGTAGATTTCCCCCCCTTCTGCAAGGCAGGTATTTTTCTCCTCTTCTTCCTTCCTTGGTTGACAAACTACCTCCAGCAAAACGTAGTTCATAACAAGCACTGTATACAGTGTTGGTTGCTTTTTTCATCAATGTTTCCTCTCAAGCACAGCTTAGAAGCTAATGACAAGTAAAATATTGGGATGGGTTTTTTTTAGGGTCTAAGAACCATTGTGCTTTTGGCAGAGGTTGTTGATAAAGAAGTACATGAATCTGGGCAATGATAAGTCTTGATTTTGCCAATTTAACTATGATTATGTATTGAAAACCACACAGGCATGTGATTATTTAGAAAAGCATATATTTGCATCCTACTAACACCAAGTTTATGCTAACACACACTTCAGTATTCTCCTTACATTCCTAATTACAGCACAAATCCTTACAGTACATGCAGAGTGATTTACGTTTGTAGTGCTTCATAGTCCATTGGTCAAAAGTGAAATAAATTAGCACATTTTGATAATGCTTTGTTCTTTTTGACCTTTGAAGCTTCCAAGACTTAGAAAAAAAATTATAAAAGAACATCGACTGAGATCCTGTGTTCCTCTCATCACCATCACTGTGTGCACATAGGACAATTTCAACCAACACACTAAGTTTTCCCTACTTTTGTAGCTGATTGTTCTACTTTTACAGTTTTCCTCATAGGACGTTATTGTCACTCAAATCGACAGCTCTCTTTCTGGCAGTGTAGGTGACCTCAGGTGCAGGGTGGTAAGAGATTTTCACTCTGCATCTTTACCTGGATCCCTTTACAGGGATCTACATCCCTTCACACGTAGGCATATAACACACAGATCGGGGAAGGAGTAGCTCACATCGACCAGTCTGCAAATCCATGTATCATTATGACCACTGCCATGCCCATTTATTAACTCCCCATCGCATGAGGTGCCTTTTGGGACCATCTTGCTAAGGGAATGATGAGAATGAGGACATGAGGTCTGCTGTAGCTTTGTCCATATTAGTATAAACACTCTGCTTGATACGCTTTGCTCTTGAGCAAAATATTCCCACATATAACTTATCAGTAGAGTGTTTTATGCCACTGCACATGGATAGATGGGGCATATTCCTCATCCCCATCCCTGGCAGTGCCCAAGGTCAGACTGGATGGGGCTGGGGGCAGCCTGGGCTGGGGGCAGGGATTGTGCCCACAGCAGGGGGCTGGAACAAGGTAGGGTTTAAGGTCCCTGCCAACCCAAACCATTCTGTGATTTTATAATTCTGTAAGGCTCAGAGCAAAGACCCTGGGAATGGTCCTCAATTAGAGAAATTCCTTAAACTTTCTAGAGGAAGAAAAGCATAGCAAAGAGAAAATAGAGAATCCCGATGGGTGAGAGACTTCCTAGCATCATTGAAAAGGCACGGATCTGAAGTGGGCAGAAGAGGCTGGAAGCCACCTGTGCACGTAAGGTTCAAGGATGCTGACGTGCTGAGGTCTGGCAACCTGGTCAATTATTACCTATTAGCAGCCTGGCTACCCTTGTTTGCTTTGATCCCCGTTGCATACATCCTCGTGTTGCAACCCCTACAGTGAGTCAGTCAAATAGACATGTACACGTTGGTGCTGAAATTTGGCATGGTGAATGCAATGTCCTCTGCGCTCCTAAAGTCTGTGCAAAAGGGAGATTCCTGGAGGCGCTGAGGATCCTGTGTGGATGGTATCATAAGAAGTAGCCCAAAAATATTAATGTTAAGAATTAGTGTGCATTTGACTAGAAAATGAAACACCAGCAGCATTTTCATTAGGCAGTGAGTGGTGTCTAAATTCTTCTCTCCATGCAGCACCAAAGGACTGCTCCTCTGGTCTACCAGGAGGATTTCTGCTTATTTTTGCACCATTGTCATCAAAAAGAAAATCCATAGGATCTCTAGTTAGGGAGGAAGCTGCTAATGCTGTAGCCACAAGAATCGGAGTCACGTATATCAGATAGGTCAGCATGGCATCGACCTTCACCTGCACGTGTGGTTATTTTGGTGGGTAATAGACAAGCCTGTTGTGTCTGCCATGTCCAAAACCTCATTATAACCTGCTGAGGTGTGGCTAATACAGTCAGTGGAGCCTGGACAGTGATTCAGCTGACCTGTCTGTGTCTGCACTATCAGATTAAATAGTGTCAGGACATGAGCACTGAAACCTGATCATCCGTAATATTAAATTATTGGAACAGCCCTGACAGTTTTGACCTCTGCTAGCTCTCTGCCAAAAATTCCTGGGCTGTTTCAGTGAT